TTGGGTATACATACCAATCTAAGCAATCAGATGACTTCCCTAAAATTTGAATCTTGAATATATTGACTATCAAAAATAGTGAGCAACCATTTTACTAAGCCATTCCACTTAGAGTGTCATAAAATGATTCCCTCATTTTTTTTTTTTTTTTTTTTTTTACTACTGAGGTTCAAGGAGCTATCTTCCCATGGATGGACTTTCCAGTTCTGAATTGATGAATGTCCCATTTTATTCCAGCAACATTAAAATTATGCCCCCAATTCACACTGAAAATTTTCAGAATAATATAGAAACATAGTGGCATTTTCCTACTTCACAGAGACTAAAATTGAGACCATGAAATTAAGTAGCTTGCTGAATAATGCTCAGGCAATAAGAAAAGGTGTCAAGTCTCCGTCTCACAAAAGTCTGGGTGCACTTTTAAGCAATTCTCTTTTCAATTACTTCCTGTACAGACATGCAGGTGAATATGCGTAGGTATAAGGTTACTGTGTAAATGGAATGCTGATTTCTGTACCACACCTCCATATCTGGTTGCAATCCTTGTTCCGAGAATCTGTCTCAGTGTTCTGTAAACACTGCTCCAATAAAGCTGCATATAATCAGCCACTGCGCAGGGGAGAGAATAGAGATGGACTTCCTGCCAGCCAGGGAAGGAGGAGACAGAAGAGGAAGGAAGGAAATCTGCCATGGGCAGAGGTCCTAGAGACATAGGGAAGGAGCTGGAGCAGAGAAAGCTACAAAGTGCAAGTTTCTCTGAGATGTACTCTGGGAGAAAACCAGATTACAGAGGGTTAAAAATAGAGTCAATACAGCTCAGGATTGTGTTGTGAAACTTGTTAAAATAATATAATAGGGTCTCAATTATTTGTTTGATTGCTAGATCAAGAGAGAAACAGAGAAACACAGTTTTATAAAAATAATTGTAACAAATGGGTGTGTATGTTCGTGTAAGTTGAGTGCCTACCATAGCTTGATTTCTAATAATTCTTGGTGGATGCTGTACCAGAGAAGCTGCAGTGGGCAGGTGAGCTTCCTGGAGACGGCCCACCGTTTTGCATGGTTGTGATGGATGTACCTTGGAGACCCCTGAGGCTTTGTCTCTGCTGCTGCTGTGCGGTCTCATGTTTGTCATTGCTGTATTCTCCTTATCTCTCATGGTGTGATTGGGTGTGGGGAATCCCCCACTGCCTAGAGTCTGCTGTGATTCTTTCCTGGGTGACAGCCTACTCATTTGGATAATTTTCTTGCAGATCAATATCAAGATGAACTTTCATAAAATATCGTTTAGATAAATTAGTGATTTCTACAGAAGTCCTGATTTGATTTAAATAGTTCGTTCTAGAAAGTTAGGTTAAGATGCTTTTGTCAGTGGTTTTTGACATACAAAATCTTGAGGAACAATCTGAAGTTCAGAAAAGCACACTCTTAATAGTTGAGCTGGAAACTTTTTGAGGTTAGGGGGCAAGAACAATATCCCATAATTACCACTGGCTGACATGACTCTCTTGTTGAAGCTGGGCTGGTGATGATTAATTTCTTGTACCCATTTCGCCCTCAGCTTCCTGATATGATTCAATAAAAATTGTTAATGAGTAGATGTGCACCTTGAGGATTTAAAGTACAAATGGCTGATTGTCTTTTATATAAAGCTTTAGATGTATAATTCTTTTAAGATTTTTAATACCATTACTTTTTAAGATAATTCTTTCCTTCTAACCAAAAATTGCAGCCTGTCAGTAAAGAAAGACTGTCAAAAAAAAAAAAAAAATCACTTTGCTTGCTTACACTTTGTTAATCTGTAACAAGCTGCTTATTTACAAATGTATGTGGGTTCTTAAGAATAATTTGTTTTTCACAGTTGTTTCTCATCCATAAAATGTAAAACAAATGATCATGTGAGGCTATTCGGAAACATTTTTTTTCTACCTATACTCATTGTAATCGTTCACTTGAAGAAAAATAGAATGTAACCACATTGTGGTTTTGTACTGCTTGAAAGATTTTGCTGGAATATATAAGCTGTGGGAGAAAAACAAAATAAAATGTTAGGGAGCCTGTAGAGTTTGCTCCATCCACCAGATGTGTGTATGTAGTTATGGAAAGTCGGAGCTTGCTTGCTGAAGCTTTGCTCCTTCCACCCAATGTGTAAATGTGTATATATCTATGTCTGACTGTATGTCTGTCTGTGTGGATATATGTGTGAAGTTGTTGAAGCTTTGGAACTTGCTCACTGAAGCTTGTCTTGCTTCATTCATCTGGTGTGTGTGTGTGTGAGTCTCTCTGTGTGTATGGTCTCTTTACTCCTTCTAACCATTTCCCCAGTCACTGGCTACCATGGAGTCCATGCTAGGAGCCATCAGCTCTGGTCCTCTGCCAGTTACAGTCAATTCCAGCCACACTTAGCACCATTCATGGAAGCCCCATTAGTAACAATCAGTTCCAGCCTGGAGAATCAAGTTTTTTACTCTCAGAAAAGAGTCTGCTGGATGATCAGTTGCCAGGAGTCTTTAGCTCTAGCCCCTGCTGATGCTACTCCCTGCCTCAGTTTACCCTGTGGTGTTGAAGCTGGCCTTCGACAAACTTTGAACTTTATATACTTATTCTGAAAATAACGTCACTGGAGGAAACTTTAAAAGCATTAAGCAAATGGGTGTTAAAACTCATTCATTATTCTAGCATCTGGACATGCCAAATTATCACTATTAACATTCTGATCTACACTCTTTAGACTTTTTTCTTTCCACTCTTACCTCTCTCTCTCACTCCTTTTTTTCTGTCTCTGTCTCTCACATATGGATATATGCATACACAATACAGGAAACAAGCAGGGATTTTTGTACATAATGAGGCTCTTATTTTATGTTCAAATTCAATTATCATATTTTCTTTAAATAATTATAGTTCAAAATATATTAATAGAAAGACATATGATGCTAATTGCTCCTCTTATAAATTTATTACTGCCTGTTCAGAATGTTAAGTATCACTGCAATCTGATTATTTTCTTAAAATTGATTCTGAAATTGAAACTACACCTTTAAAAACTTCATAATTTTTGAAACGTTACATTTTTTTTCAGTAAGATTGTGCCAATTTATAGTTTTAAAATCAGTGTTTTAAAATTAGCTTTATTCAACTGTACAAACTTGGACATTAACTTAAAAAATTAATGCCAAGTTGATAACTTGAAATAAAAGCTTATGCTGTATTAGGTGTTTCTTCTGTTGTTCTATCATAAATTAGTATATGCTAACTACAGAAAGATAAAAGCACACAGATTATAATTATTTCACATATAAACATAATAGTTTAATATATACATATTCAATACATACATATTTATAAGGTTGAGGTCTTATGCGTGACTCTTTTACATAAAATCATATCAATGTAAATTAATTACACTATATTTATTGTGAAAACTTTTCTATTATTAAATAGAAATAGTATTAAATATTCTCCACTATTATTTTTATTAGATGTAACTCTTCTATAATATTCTTGCTTATTAGACGAGTAGTTAATCAATACTTATCATGAATCAATACTGCACTTATAATTGACCAATATTTGTAGTTGATTTGCAATATATGTCAGTTCAGTCTGTGACTGAATTTGTGATTTCACAAATGGAATTATTCCAGAATTGAAATTAGGGGTTTACATGATATAGATATCTTAAAGTTCCTTGGAGTTGGAAAGATGCTCAGAGTTAAGGGTAATTGCTGTTCTTGCTGAGGACCAGAGTTCTCTTCCCAGCACCTCCAGTAGGCTACTCAAAACTGCCTGTAATTCCAGCTCCAAGAGATCTGATGCCCTCTTCTGGCCTTCAAGGGAACCTGCACACATGTTACAGACACACAGGAACAAAGTTCAGTAAAGTTGAGGGCAACAAGGGGTGCGGGGCCTGAGGGGAGCAGATTCACAAAGCCGACTCTTCAATTCTTACAGCCTGTAGTTTTCATGAAGTTACATTACGGTTTATAGTGTCCAGAATATTAAGCAACTCAAGTCACTTAACCAAAATTCCGAGATGGCATCAAGGATGTCAGGATATGCCCTCGCTGTATTTTTTAAAATGAGACTGACTTACATTAGAGAAGTTATAATTCATCATCCAACAGTTTTTATTCGGTGTAAATCACAGAGGTTTAAATGAACCAGGTGCTTAATGCAGAGTATGGCTTGATGGATTAATGAATGAGCGAAGAGGTGAGAACCAAGAGCAAGAATAAGACTGTTCTAGCCCCTTCCAATAACGACACGAGCCATCATGCTGTCCTGCCACCCTCATCCTCAGTGAACACAGATTTTTCGACGCCCAAAGACGGATACCACCTACGTTTTTTGAACGCTATTTCATTTTCCATCCGTAAACGGTTTTCCCTCTGGCCCCATTTAAAATGAATCCAGCCACAACCTGTGATCCTCTGGGCGCTTCTTTGACTTGAGCAGCCTGAAGGTCTGTCTGTTTGTTTTTCTTCAGGAAACGCATTTCTCGGTCCTGTCTTCTTCCCAGTGAAAGTCTAGGAAGAACTGGTTCCTCCTTCCTCTAGGGCTTTCCATCCGTGGGTACTCTCGTGGGACCCGAGAAGACGCCGGACGCCGAGCGCAGCTCTGCAGGTGTGCAGCCTGAGCCTCCCACTACGACTACCCTTTGGCCACCCCAGCCCGCGCAGGCGCGCTTTCCTTCCCCCGCCAGCCCCGCCCTCACTGCACCTGCCAGGTCACAAACCTCCGCCCACCCACTCCTACTGCTCCTGGCCGCCCGAGCCTGCCCCTCTTTGATTGGCCGAGGGCCCCCTGGAGAGCGTCCAATCAGCAGCCATTCTGGGCGACCTATTCGCGCTCCTCCCGCCCCGCCGGCCTCGCGGGCTCCCAGCTTCTTTGTGACTGGTGCTCGCAGCGGTCAGTCAGCGGTGTGAGCCCCCCCCCGGAGGGCGGGGCCGTCTCAGGTGCCGCGGCGCGGGCCGGACGCGGTGGGCGAGGGGGCGGCCGCGCGGCGACGTCGGCGGCGTGAGGCTTCGCGCGTGAGCGGCGCGGGCGCCGGGCCTGAGTGCCGAGCTCCGTGGGCGGGCCGCTCAGGTCGTTGACGCGGGGCCGGGCGGAGGCGCGTCCGTCGCCGGGAGCTCGACGCCGAGGTTCTCAGACCATGGAGGACCCGCAGCCGCTGCCACAGCCCGAGCTACCGCTGTGCGACAGCCTCATCATCTGGGTGAGTGGGGCTCGGCGCTGGCCGGCGGGGCGGGCTGAGACCTCCCGCTGCCGCGGACACCTGCCCCGCAGCCGGCCCGTCCGAGATCTGGCGCTCTCCCCAGCCCCAGCGCCCCGCCGCGCACAGGTGGCTAGGAGGCGCCGGCCACCTCGGTCCCCACGGTGCCGTCCCCGTGGGCCCACACAGCGACCAGGGTATAGGCACCGCTTAAGACAGATGACCAAACTGTTCTTGACATGGGAGCCCCCCCTCCCCCTTTTTATTCTCTGCCTCCTCTTCCCTTCTTCCTACCCTTTCGGTTTTTTTTTTTTTAATTTTATATTAGTTTATTTACTTTACATCCCGAGGGTGCCCAGTCCTCCCAATCCCCCTTCCCCCTCACTCTTCCTCCTTCCCCCTTCTCCTCCCCCCTCAAAAAAAAGGGGAGCCCCCTCTTCCGGGATCAACCCTCCCCAGAACATCAAGTCACATCAGGACTGCCCACAACTTCATCTCCTGAGGCCAGGCCAGGCAGCCCTGCCAGGGGGAAATTGTTCCAAAAGCAGGCAATAGATGTCCATGTTAGAACCGGCCTTCCCTCCACTCGCCTGGCGCCCATATGAAGACCAAGCCGCCCGTCGGCAACATGTCTGCAGGGGTCCTCGGTCCAGATCTTGCATGCTCCTTAGTTGATGTCCCCTTTCATTTTTAAAGTAGAAAAACAATTAGCCATTTGTTGTTGTTTATACTTGATCCATGTGCAGGATTTATTAGCGAAGACTTGACAAGACTGCACTAGTATTCCAGTCAGCAAAATGGTTTCTAACCTGTTGAAATTGCCTAGCTATGACAGAACCAACATCCAGGCGTGATTCCCAGCCCTGTATTGTGCTGGGATAATACTTGATGCCCTACAAACTGCTCTTGGTGGCTCTCAGTGCTCACCCCGGTTGTATAGGTGTGTGGAGAGCAGTCTATCTGATTGGGGGTGTAAGTAGACTGGATGAGGATTACATCCTTCCAGAGATTGCCTAGCCGTCTCCTAATGCCAGCAAATCCAAAGGACGGATGGGAAAGATCTTTGTGAGTGCTTGAAATTCCAAGTAACCTCTGCACGTTGGACTTAAATAACATGTTTTAAGTAGAATGCCAGGAGTTAGGATTTCAGAGTGTTAAAGCACTTAGCTCATTGTCAAACTGCATGTTACTTAAGTTACTATTTAGGTGCAGATAGTCTATTTAAGATTGTCAGGAAAGAAGGCAGTATTACTTTTAGTAATCTGCTTTGTTTAAAAACAAATGGCTAATCATAGGGTTGTGTAGGTCTCCAGTTTTGTCCTCCGATCTTCTAACTGAAATGGTAAACTGGGTTCTTTATGATGTCACTTACTTCCTTGACATGAAATCACATGAAATACAAGATTTTCTTAAACTGTACTCCAATATTTCTAAATGTTATGACTGTGTACATTTGTAAAACAGTATTTTTTTTTTTAACTTTCTGCTCTGTGCTAGGCTCTCTAGGAATCAGTTTAACTAGCAGAGCTGTGTATAATTACAACAGAAGGCAAAGTTCCCCAAGATCTGAAAAAATAGGAACCAGATAAGGATTCACAGACAGCAGAGGGCAGTGGGTTAGCAGGTGGTAATTGGCTCCTGCAGCATTCTCTGAGGCTGCTGTGCACCGGAGGAAATGGAATGACTGACAGACTGTTACTGGGTCTGGTTAGGCTACAGCTGCAGCATTCTTCCCTACACTGGCTAGCTTGATAATAGTGAGTAAAGCTGATAGTTCTAATTTTTCTTAGGAAGCTTCATCAATACTCACTTAGCTTTACTTGGAACCGAATCTTGGTTTTCAGGCATAGGACCACCTGCTTATTTTGGGGTCTGCCTGTAAACCCTGTTCCTTCTAACTCTTCTAGAGCATTGTTCTATTTTTTCTTTTTTCTTTTTGCTGCTTCTGCTGCCCACCTCTCAATTTAAGGAGGGATCCCTGCAAGTGCTCTACCAACAGAGCTGTATCTTCAGCCTCTTTTTAACTTAAGTCAAGACAATGTCTAAGCTACTCCGGTTAGCCATGGTGGGCTGACAGGCCTTGGACTTGTGATTCTTTTTCTACCTCCCAAGCACCTGGAATTGCGGACTTGTGCCAAAAGACTGCTACTTTTAGCAGTGTTCTATTAGCTATTTCCTTTATATGCTTATGCTTACTTAAATCTTTTACTACTTTATAATAAATTAATTTTTTATTAATTACAATTTATTCATTTTAATAAAGTTTTTATTTTTATATATTAATTACAGTTTATTCATTTTGTATCCCAGCTGTAGCCCCCTTCCTCATTTCCCTCCCCATCCCACTCTCCCTCCCTAATTTCCTCCTATGCTCCTCTCCAAGTCCAGTGATTTAGGAGGTCCTCCTTCCCTTATATCTGGCCCTAGCCTATCGAGTCTGATCAGGACTGGTTGCATTGTCCTCCCCTGTAGCCTGGCAAGGCTGCTCTCCCCTCAGTGGGAGGTGATCAAAGAGCCAGCCACTGAGTTCATGTCAGAGACAGTCCCTGTTCCCCTTATTAGGGAACCCACTTGGATACTGAGCTGCCATGGGCTTTATCTGTGCAGGGGTTCTAGGTAATCTCTATGAATGATCCTTGGTTGGACTATCAGTCTCAGAAAAGACCCCTGTGCCCAGACTTTCTTGGTTCTGTTGCTCTCCTTGTGGAGCTCCTGTCCCCTCCAGGTCTTTCATCAACCCCATCTTTCCTAAGATTCCCTGCACTCTGCCCAAAGTTTGGTTATGAGTCTCAGCATCTGCTTTAATACCCTGCTAGGTAGAGTCTTTAAGAGGCCCTCTGTGGTAGGTTTCTGTCCTGTTCTCTGTTTTCTCCCTCTTCCGATGTCCATCTCATTTGCCTTTCAGAACAAGGGTCCTCCTTCTGGCTTAGCTTCTTTAGGTGTACAGATTTTTGTTGTGTTTATCCTGTGTTATATGTCTAATATCCACTTATAGTGAGTATATACCATGTGTGTCTTTCTGCTTCTTGGATACCTCACTCAGGATGATCTTTTCTAGTTCCCACCATTTGCCTGCAACTTTCATGATTTCCTTGTTTTCAATTGCTGAGTAGTATTCCATTGTGTACCACAATTTCTGTATCCATTCCTCACCTGAGGGGCATCTGGGTTGTTTCCAGCTTCTGGCTATTACAAATTAAGCTACTACAAACATGGTTGAGCAAATGTCCTTGTTGTACACTTGAGCATATTTTGGATATAAGTATAGGAGTGGTATTATAGTTGGATCTTGAGGTAACACTATTCCCAATTTTCTTAGAAAGTGCTAGATTGATTTCCAAAATGGTTGTACAAGTTTACATTCCAACCAGCAATGGAGGAGGGTTTCCCTTTCTTCCCAGCCTCTCCAGCATGTGTTGTCAGTTGATCTTGTCATTTTTTATCTTAACCATTCCGATGGGTGTAAGGTAAAATCTCAGGATTGTTTTGACTTGCATTTCCCTGATGACTAAAGATGTTGAGCATTTCTTTAAGTGTTTCTCTGCCATTCAATCCTCTATTGAGAATTCTCTGTTTAGCTCTGTAATCTAATTTTTTAATTAGATTACTTGATTTGTTTCTTTTTAACTTCTTCAGTTCTTTATATAGTCTGGATATTAGCCCTCTATCAGATACCTCTATCAGGTTGGTGGAGATTATTTCCCAATCTGTAGGCTGTCAGTTTGTTCTGATTACAGTGTCCTTTGCATTACAGAAGATTTTCAGTTTCATGATTTATTGATTGTTGATCTTAGAGCCTGTGCAGTTGGTGTTCTGTTCAGGAAATTGTCTCCTGTGCCAATGAATTCAAAACTCTTCCCCACTTTTTCTTCTGAAAGATTTAGTGTGTCTGGTTCTATGTTGAGGTCTTTGATCCACTTGGAATTTAGTTTTGTGCAGGGTGATAAATATGGATTTATTTGCATTTTTCTACATGTAGACATCCAGTTAGACCAGCACCATTTGTTGAAGATGCTGTCTTTTTTCCATTGTTTGGTTTTGGCTTCTTTATAAAAAAATCAAATGTATGTGGATTTATTTCTGGGTCTTCTAATTGATTCCATTGATCCACTATTCTGTTTCTATGCTAGTACCATGCAGTTTTTATTACTATTGCTCTATAGTACAGCTTGAGATCTGGGATGGAGATACCTTCAGATGATCTGTTTTTTACAGGATCGTTTTGGCAATTCTGTTTTGTTGTTGTTTTTCCATATGAAGTTGAGAATTTTTCTTTCAAGGTCTGTAAAGAATTGTGTTGGTATTTGGTGGGAATTGCATGGAATCTGTAGATTGCTTTTGGCAGGCTCGCCATTTTCACTGTTAATTCTACTGATCCATGTGCATGGGAGATCTTTTTGTCTTCTGATATCTTCTTCAGTTTCTTTCTTCAGAGACTTGCAGTTTGTTTGTTTTTTTTCCAAACAGGTCTTTCACTTGCTTGGTTAGAGTCACACGAAGGTATTTTATGTTATTAGTGGCTATTGTGAAAGTGTAGTTTCCCTAATTTCTTTCTTGGTCCTTTTGTCATTTTTATACAGGAGGGCTACTGATTTTTCTTGAGTTAATTTTGTATCCAGCCCCTTTCCTGAAGGTGTTTATCAGCTGAAGGAGTTCTCTGGTTGAATTTTTGGTGTCACTCTTATATTATCATATCATCAGCAAATAGTAATAGTTTGACTTCTTCCTTTCTGATTTGTATCCCCTTGATCTTCTTTAATTGTCTTATTGCTTTAACTAGGACTTCAAGTACTTTGTTGAAGAGATGCGGAGAGCGTGGGCAGCCTTGCCTTGTCTCTGAGTTCAGTCGATTGATTTACGTTTCTCTCCATTTACTTCAGTGTTGGCTATAAGCTTGCTGTATATTGCCTTTACTGTGTTCAGGTATGTGCCTTGTATCCTTGATCTCTTTAACATTAATGGGTGCTGGATTTTGTCAAATGCTTTTTCGTCATCTAAGGAGA